CATTCTAGAAAGGTTTAAATTAGTTCTAAGTACTGTAGTTGTTTGATAACATATACATATTAACCAAATAAATATAAATATAAATATAAAACATAATATAATATATAATATAATATATTTTTATTAATTTATATTTGTATTATATATAAAATATAATATAATATTTATTTAATATAAATAATAATATAACTATTACATACAAAATATATTTAATGTAATAAATATATATTATAATATTATAATATAAATATTATATACAATATGATAAATATATAATATAATATTTAGTATAATATAAAATATTATATTCAATATTAATATATATTTAATATAATAAAAATATATAATATTTATATATTATATAAAATATAATTAATATATATATATTATAATAATAAAATAAATATATAATATAATATTATGTTATAGTAATATTATATTATATTATATCATATTAATAATAATAATATTATGTATTTATATTATGTATAGTGATTAGAGATCAACAAAAAAGTTATGAAAAAAATATTTCACTTTTTAACAAAGGAATGGGAACATTTATTCAAATATTAGTTCCTAAACTTTTCATGGAAAGTGTGAAACAAACGCGGAACATTTTCAAAATCTGAAAGAATACTTTATGAAAGAATACTTTCAGAAAAACAATCACGCCCTTAGCGTGACCGGCGACAAGATAACATATTATTAGCATAGTCATATTTTGTTTAAAAAAAGTCTACAATAAAATGGTTTATATTTAACACAAGAAGGTAACAATCACAATTAGATCATTGGATATAAAATCTGGTGGCCGAAGGCATAGTTTTTGAGCACAAAACTCAAAACAATAGTTTTTGAACTATAAGACACACAAAAACCGTCAGATTTTATACGAGGACCAAAGGTGTTGTGATTTCTTTAAAACTAACTCCTAATCTATGCCTAACCGGTTTAGAGGAGGCTAATAATATTTTGTTTATTTCAAAGTAGACTGAAGAGGGAGCTTAAAAATATTTTTTGAGGATCAAGGGGTTCCAAATTTTATTTTCCACCTCAAATAACAAGCCCAAAAATCAACCAATACTCTACACAAAACTCGAAAACGTTATTACACTAATAACACAAAATAATCCATGTTTCAATAGTTAAGAAGCCAATGTCTTGACTCACTCCATCCCTCTCTCTCCAAAAAGAATGTCCTCTCTTCCCATCTTAGTTTTAGCCTTTTTGGCTTCTGTTTCTCTCTTTGGAAACTCCTCGTTTGATACTTTGTGCGTATTCGGTTCTTAGTGAATCTAATCCTGTTTTGGAGAATATATCCGATCCCCACTAATCCAGCAGAACAGAGATATATCTTCTAAATTTTCAGAATGTGATATTTTTGGCTAAAAGAAATAAATAGATTGGTGAAAAAGTTGGATTTGCTTAAAATACTTCTTACAAAGGGAAAATTTTATATAGAGCCGAGGCTCTAAACAATCAAATTTGAGACTATATCAAAATTTTCATTAGAAGAGGTTGTTTTGATGCCCAAATATCTTCAAATTGATCATCTCCACATCAAGAAACATGGATGTGAAAAAAAAAATAGATTTCAAGTTTTGAAAATAGTTTATTTTGTAATATGTTTTTGGACCATCAATTTAAGATTTTTAAGTTTTCATAGATATGTCGATCTACACTATTTTTGAAACTTTAAACTTTATAAATAAATATAAAAATATATTTTAAAGCTATCACAAAGATTTCCAAAAAACCGCATTTCGTGACACTATTTGAAAGTATGCTCTAATTTGATTGTTTAGAGCCTAGGCTCTATACAAACCACACCCTTTTACAAATGGTAGAAGTTTTGTAGGGTGTAAAGAGGGTTTATGGATGCCTACGCTTTATGTTGAAAAAGTAAAGTCCGATGCATTTTCGAATCTGTTCTGTTGGGGAATTAGGGGATTTTGTCAGGACCTGGGCAATTCAGACAGGCAGCATTCCCCAATTCCCACATATTATATTTATATTTATTTTTTTTATTTTATTTTTTGACCGATTCTCATACCAGAGAATAAATCAAATTTGTCGATCTAGTTTGGACTTTTGGATGGCCAATTCACCTGATCGATCTGGGTTTTAAAACAATGCCTTAAAATGATTATCTCGGCCTTAATAATTATGCATTTGGCAAAAACAAAAAATTATGGACATTTTACATCAAGATTTAGAGTTGTGGATTCACTTTTTAACATAAAGCCGATCTCTTGTCCTAATCGTACCCAAGAGAATATAGCAAAAGATGCAGTTTCAATAAGGTCCAAGCCTTATGGGGAAAAGGTGAAGCCTTACCTTAGAAATTTTGTATTTTGTAGGAAAACACTTCGGGTATCAAAAATCCTAAGATGACTCTAAAATCTAGTTCCACTATTAATTGAAAATAGAACAAATTTTGTGGATCTTTGAATATTTGAAAATGGATGGTTTGACTAATGTGTTACAATATATAATATAATTCTTTTTTTTTTGTACTCCTACTCCGTCAATTGACTTATTAGGAGGATTTTTGCAATCTATAATTTTGGTACCACGTTAGAATCACTAGATGACTATTGAAATAACATATTTTGGCACTATTTAAAAGTGTATCTTATTTTAATTGTTTAGGACCTCAACTTTATAAAAACCCCACCCCTCTCTCAAAACATTGGGCAAGTTAAAATGAACCACTCTTAAACCTCTCTCCAAATGATTTAAATTGAAGCATCTCTCTCTCTAAATCAGGCAACATGAATGAAAACATACTTAAATTCACATCTCTCTCTCTCTCTTTTATGTATGGGAAACAATACAGCTGAGACATCCTATGTAAGGTATATTGATCGTCTATTCCCAATATTTATAGTGAAACTTTTGAGGTAGGCTCTAATTTGATTGTTTAGAGCCTCAGTTCTATACAAACTTTTTCCATATTTTTATATTCTAGAGGTGATTATGAGAATGCCTGTACTCATAATGACGGTTCATGTTTGTCGTCCATCTTGAGAACAGACAGCTGCCCATGGTGGAGATAAAGTGTAAATTTCAAAGTAGTTCCTCTTAAAAAGCCTCAGCTAATTCAGTAGAATTGTAATTTATTTTCTAATCTTTATATAGATAGTATGCTCAACTTATTAATTATTCGCCAATGTCTTCTTGGTATCACTTAATTAAATTTACTTACAATTGCTATTATACTATTTTTAAGAGAGAGAGGGGTTGGGGAGAGAGAAAGAGGTCGTGAGGGAGATTGAAAGGTTATAGGAAGAGAGAGACAAGGGATGGGTTCTAATGGTATTTGGGAATTTGTTTAGGTTGATCAAACGTTACAAAAAGTAAAAGAGGGGGTCGCGTGTTTAGGGAGTTTGGAGAAATATTGTACAAAAATTTAATGGGGCAACATGAGTTTTACCGGAGGAGAAATATTTCATGCGGGCTGGACCGCATTTATACAGTTTGCAAATACCTCGAATGCAAATAGGTTCTCCATTTAAAAACAATTGAAATTAATGGTCCAAATGTTTTTTTCATAACATCATTTATTTTTATTTTTTTAAAATTTATTTATTTATTTTATATTCATGATCTCCATGTTAGAAATTACGTACCATTAGAAATTGGGTTTGAAAATCCATCTCAAAAATAGATTTGTAAGAGTCGACTCATTTCTACATGGACTCATAGAATCGGTGCCCTTCAAAAATTTATTGCAATAAGATAGATATTACACTTCAGGGGATACTAAGAAACAATTGATAAAATTAGAGTGTATAGAGATATTTTCTCTTTAAAAATATTGAAAATCGGTAGTTCAAAATAATACATTATAAGATGCACTATTTCTCATACTAGAAATCTATGTTTTTTCACATTTATACATCTCAAGATCAAGATGATCGATTTTGAGACTTTTGGACATTGAAATAGTCTCTTCTAATGAATTTTTGAAATGTGCATTAATTTGCTGGTTTAGAGCCACAACCTCATATGATCTTTTTCAGAAAGAAAAAAGGGTTTAGACACCTTTGGACTTTTGAGGGGTTAATTTTTAGATATCGATGATTGGGGTATACTAATTAAATTTCTCACATAAAAGTTTATATATTGTTGCTATCTTAAAATGTAGAATTAAAGATGTACTTAAAACATCAATTGGAAAAAGTCGTTTCAATATTGAAAAACCCTTTAATTAATCGTATCTACATCGAGATGTATGAACATATAAAAAAATAAAAATTTTGAGTCCCAAAAATAGTTCATCTTATAAAACGTTATGTAGACTGTCTATTTTCAAGATGTACATATGTTTATAGATCTAATTGATTTTAACTATTTATAAAATTTAAAATTTTATAATTAATAATAAAAATAGATTTTAAGATAATTCTAAAAATGTTTTACACCAAAATTAGTGATAAATTTTGGAGGTGCGCCTTAGTTGTATTGTTGAACGTTACAACCATACGGAAAGTCCACCGTTTTTATTTTCTTCGAAAACAGTGAAGCATCCCGTTATTTTTCCTAACTCCGAAGCGGTATCCGCTATATATATATATATAACAAAGCTTCGATGGAAGCAATGCCCAACCGACCTGGTTCTTGTCACGCCACCCATGAAATGAAACGCGACATCTCTCTCTCTCTCTCTCGAAATTCCCATAACCAGCTATGAGCTTACATCCCTCAATTCCTTCGCATTCTCGTCCTGTTCCCCAACATTTTCTCTCTCCAAAACAATGCTGAAACCAAAGGCGTTTTTTGAGGACCATTCGTCGTGCAACTTCCATTCATCGGATGAATTGAGCTCATTTTGTTCAGGTGGGTTGTTCCTTGATCCCACTGTGCCTGCTTCACTGGTTTCGTCTTTCTCGGATCGCTGTTCATCCTCGGTCTCTTTTGGGTCCTCAAGGAATGGAAAGCCTCTGGTTTGCTTGGGTTTTTCGGGGGTTTTTAGAGAGAGAAACGAGTCTCATAGGGGGATTTGGGGGGAATTGGGTTATGGGTTTTTGTCGGTGAGTTTGTCAATAAAAGGGAACGATGGGTTTGTCAGGGATTCAGCGAAGTTTCTAACACAAAATGCAGAGGATGGTTTGGAGGGGGTTACTGAGAAGAAAGAGGAGTTTAGTGAGATAAAAGAGTTGAGGAAAGAGAAAATTGGGTTGCGTGGGTCAGGGGCTGTTAATACCACTAAGCACTTATGGGCTGGTGCTGTGGCTGCAATGGTTTCCAGGTGATCTTCTTTGCTATTTTCTCTTCTCTTTTGTCTCTTATAATTATCTTATCAATGCTTTAGTTGAGGAAATCTATAATGGGCTGCGTAATGCATCTGTCTTTGAGACATATAGTAAATTTACTTTGCAAAAAAGAAAAAAAAAGGACTGGAGTACATTGTAATGTTACTATAGATTTGGTTTCTTTCAACGTTTTGCTTATTCGACATGATTGAGCTCTGTAACTTGTGGTTTTGGGCTTTTGGTTTCTCTTAACTAAATTTTTTGAAAATTAAGATGTCATTCTTAGTATAAAGAAGTGATTTTTAATTTGCATTTTCAACAACTTGTATTGCTGATACTCCACAAGCCCAGGAAAGATGAGTTGGTTGTTGTAGTTTTCTAATCTTTATGCCTTGGGTGCAAACATTAGAGGGCTAAAGAGAGAGCCTATCCAAACTGTATAAGATGGAAACCCCATGTTTGACCAACTCTTTAAGTTGGAATGGTTCAAACAAAGTCACTAATTTATGATAGTAAGGGATGCTTGATCGCCAGTGCACAGCATAAAAAGCGCATGATAAAAAACAATGGCCATCATAACACTGAAAGGGTCAGTCGCACGTAATTTTTTTATTGGACTATGTATAAGTTGGTTTACCAGGGGCAAACCTCTACTCTTTCAAATTGATATTCTAGCAGGTAATTTTGGGGGTTGTTCATTGTCAAGCTGATTGGCTTCATGTTGTTTGATACCTTAATGGAGAAAATCCCTGTCTCTACATATTAAGGAGTATATTTGTAGAATCAAGTTGCTTGATTTCATTGTCAATACAGAAGTTGGGGATGTGTTGTTGGAAGCAGACCATGTCAAATTCTTTTGCAAATGTAGGTTCATGAGGAGTTTATTAGGATATGTTTTTTCAAAAATGTTTCTACTGAGTTCAAAAAGTATATCTGAGATATATAAGTTTGAAAGCATAATCACGGATTAAGATGGATTTAGCTATTCCGGCACACTCCTAGTCACCTAGCTAATGAGTCTGGGAATATGGAAAATTTTTCTGCCACTACGTGTTTATACCCGTTTTCATGTATTTACTCAAGTGACCTAGGGGTGAGAATTTACCAGGTTTGGACTCGAAACCCAAATTTCGGACCCTATCCTAATCTAGGTATAGATCCAAGATTTGGATTCGGCGGGTCGGATACTGATTTAAACTTTGGATTAAAATAGTAATTTGGACCGGATCCAAGTATAGGTGGATGATGGATCCGATCCATATCTGACCCAATTATTAATATATATATATATATATATATATAGATATGGAAAAAGTTTATATCAAGATGCTACCTTACAATGTAGAACTACAGATGCCCCTCAAAAATCCATCGGAAAAGGAAGTTTTAATGTTGAAAAACCCTTTGATTGATCATCTTGACATCGAGATGTATGACTACGAAAAAAAAAAAGATTTTAAGTCTCAGAAATAGTGCATTTTACAACATATCATCTACACCGTCCATTTTCAAGATTTTTCATATGTTTATAGATCTACTTGATTTTAACCATTTTTGAAATTTAAAATTGTATAATTAGATATAAAAATAGATTTTGAGATAATCCTAAAAACAGTTTACATCAAAATTATATACCATGATAAAATTTGAAGGTACACCTTACCTCTACACCTACGGATGCACCCATATATATATATATATAGATATGCATACGTGTTACATAGTATTTTTTGTTATATATTATTTTATAGATAAAAATAAGATATAAAATAAATTTTTTGGATCCGATTTGGATCCCATTTATACTTTTTGGACTTGTCAACCCTATAGTGACCCAACCAATGCGTTTAAAGATATGGAGTTATGGACTTTCCTGCCATGATATGCTTGTACTCCTTTCTAGTGTCGTACCCAGTAATTTAAAAAGCAAACCGCTTAACGCCTGGGTGGCCACCTAGGTGGTCTAGAAGGCTTGGGTGCATCGACTGGGCCTAGACGGCCAAATTAGGCGGATATACTTGGGCGCTCACCGAGGGGCCCGCCTTTGAACCCGCTTAGGCGCTCGCCCAGGGCTCCTTGTTGAGGGCATTTTTTGATATTTTTTTAATACTAAAGGGGCAAAATTGTGGGTTTTAGATTCATTTGAAACCTAAAACCCATTAGAGCCTATTTTAGAGAGAAAAACCCCACAATTTTTTTCTTTCTACTGGGCCACCCAGGTTCTGGGCGCCCGCCTAGGCGCTGGACGGCCTGGACCTCCGCCTGCCTAAGCATCGTTTAGTGCTTCTTGAAACACTGGTCGTACCTATTTCTATAATGAAATTATCAAATATTATCTCTCTTTTTTTTGACATGAATCATCAATTATCATTAGAATAAAGAAAAAGAAGAAAGGTCCTTAGGCATTGAATCTATATCTCAATATTAGAGGCTGAGAAGCAAATAAACATTTAGAAGAGAAAAAACAATGACTAGTATTAATCAAATAAACTAATCAAATAAACATTGTGGATTTTTTCATTAAACAAAATCCTAAGACACACTTATGAAGAGAGCTCGTTAGCAGCAGGAATGCCATGCTACATGGATGCCAACATGTGCATCAATGTCTAGTACGTGCCTGGAGTGTCTAGTATTGGAGGCCAAAAAAAATCTAGTTCTTTCCAACACATTTCTAACTCAATTTACTCATTGAGTTTATTTAGTTACGTAATTAAATTTCCTTTAAACAACGCCCCATCGCCTAGGTGTTAGAGGGGCACTTTTCACTTAAGTGAAAAGATAGAGGGGGCATGGGTTCGGAATAGATGGGGCACACTCTTCACTTAAATGAAAAGATAGAGGGGGCATGGGTTAGGAACAAATGGGGCACACTCTTTGGCACTATATGTGATGTGCATTGCTTTATGCTGTTACTCCTATTTAAATTTCCCTTTATAATTATTAATAAAATTACATGGCCCATGTGGTAGAGTGAACTTCACTCTTGTAAAGCGGTTGTTGGTTTGAGTTCAATGGGGCACACCACTTCTTAAGCAATTTTTATCATACAAATAAGGGATACTGTGTGTCTATGAAGATGACACTTCTATAAGAAGTTTGATATGTATCAACAAGTATTCAAAGCATTCAATACAATCAATCAAAGTGTTGGGGGTGGATATGCAAGTGTCGACGTGTCTGATTGTTAACACATGTGGACATGCGCCACAACAAAAAAAGTGAGGTACGCGTTAACATTGCCTCAACGCAATGTTCTAGAAAACGCTGGGTGGCACCGAGGAGGCCGGGGGGTCTAGGCTGTCCAGCGCCTGGGTGTCCTAGGTTTAGAAGGGGGCAAATGGTATCCAATAACCCTGTTTTAAGTACAAAGTTTGTATAAAAAATGCATATTCATGTATTTTTTGTAATCCAAACCAAAAAGAAAAACACTGAAAATACCCCATCCAATGGGTATTTTTCCACCTAGTCGGGCACTGTCCCTTGGGCACCTACCTAGGTACCCTAAGTGCCTGCCTAGTTGGTCCACCCAAGCCTGCACGGTGCGCCTAGGCCCCTCCCAGCCCACCTAAGCACTGGGCGAATCGCTTTTTGAATCAATGCCTTAATGTTGTTAATATTAGTTGAAATTTTTCTATTGCCGTCAATTATCAAAAATAAAAATGAAAGGACCTGGTTTCTATGCGGCCAGCCGGCATAATGTAGAAATGTGGGCTTGGCAATAGATATATTTTTTAAATATAATTTATCCTACTTTTTTAGATAATATATAATCTTTAACATGGGGATCATGAATATGAATTTTTTTTTTTTGAAAACTAGAAATAATAATTATATTAAGAAAACATGTGGACCGTTAGTTACAATTGTTTTTAGATGGACCACCTATTTGCATCCATTTTAAGATGGATGCTTTATACCTCTGAACCGCATATTGTAGAAATGCGGTCCAGCCCGCATGAAACAATTTTCCAAAACAAAATATTACTGTCCAAAATGTTGTCAAAACGGCTTGTAGAACAATTCAATGGATTGCTATGGGATTTGCCTAAATTAGAGAAATGGATGGAAACATGAGAACAAAATGGCAAATTTAGAGAACTTTTTTCCATATGAGCGCATAGTAAAATTCTGAGGAGTTAGTTATATGGATGACTTAAACTCATTATAGTTGCGTCAAATACATAGAACATGCAAGAGCTTGGAAATGATTTCCATGCTTCTGATGAGATGAGAGGTTCAGGACCATACCATATGCTTACTGGAACCAATCCGAATCTACACCATCCGTGCCAATGACTCAGTGCTGGATAAACCTAGAGATGATGGGGATTCTGTCAGAAAACCTATTCATAGGCCATTCACAGTTGAGGTGGGGGCACTTGGCATATAGCATGAAGTCAAAGAATACAGAGATATAAGCATAAAGTTGTAGAGAGAAAAGTTGCAACAGGTTCACCATGCTACATGAGCATGGTTTCTTGTGTGAATTGTGATAATAGTATCATGAAAATGGTACATTGCAATATTTGTTTTACCAGTTTCTGCAATTGCCATTCTCACTGAGCTTCTCAAGTAGGATTAACTCTTTTTATATGAGAGAACTTTATTGGTGTACTTACGAGAAGAGTTGGTGTTAGTTTATGTGCATGTATATACACTCCTGTAGAGTTATTTTGGTCATTATCTCATTGTTTTATGCAGTTTGTTTTTGTCAACTATTTAAGGAGCTATTTTTTCATTTTATTTGAATATAAATTGTACATAAGTTGTTCTACTGCTCATTACTCTTTCTTCCACTTATCTTAACATGGTCATTCTGCCTCCTTGTGTTCCTTGTTTTCCAGTGATTCCACTTATTTTTTCTTTAAGTCTACCCATCTACTTAATATAGTTGTTATCCATTTTGGGTCCTAGTTGATTCCACCACTTCTTTATAATGACGTACACTTTTTTTGTTGTTTTTCTTTCAACTGAAATTGTAGCGGCTTTTTTATTAGGAATGGCTCATTTCCAACTGTTCGTTGTTGACAATGTTGAGTCTGCATGTAATGTACTGTAATCCTAAAGACAAGCACACACAAATATGGTTATGGGCACAGATAGATAGACATGTAGTGCAGATAGATAGACATGTAGTACTTTTTTTAAAAATAAGTTCACCATTATGTTTTTGTTTTTTGAATTGTTTCTAATGCTGTAGTTGATGATTTTTTTCGTTGATGGTTTTTTCGTTGCCAGAACTTTTGTTGCTCCGCTGGAGAGATTGAAGCTTGAGTACATAGTTCGTGGTGAACAAAAAAACCTTTTTGAGCTTATTAAGATGATTGCAGTTACACAAGGTTTGAAAGGCTTTTGGAAAGGGAATTTTGTGAACATTCTTCGTACTGCCCCATTTAAGGCAGTGAATTTTTATGCTTATGATACATATAGGAAGCAGCTCCTCAAAATGTCTGGAAATAAAGAGACCACAAACTTTGAGAGGTTTTTAGCTGGTGCAGCTGCTGGGATTACAGCCACTATACTCTGTATACCAATGGACACCGTAAGTCATGATTTTATTGGCTATCCTCATAAGTAGTTTAATCACACTTTCCTCGTGAAGCCTTTAGAAGGGATGGTATGTGAAGATGGTTCTGTGGACTATAGAAAACCATTTTCCATTGTGTCATCACATCCATTGAAATGATGGATGTTGATGGAAAGAAAGGACCCACCACAATAGGACATGACTGTGATTGTTATTCTTCAAAAAACAAAAGAATTGAGAAGGGACATGCCTGTGATATTGGCCCACCCTCTTGATTACCAGCCATCATTTCAATATATGGTGCCGACTTCAATTGACTTGGGTTTTCCCATAGCGCATCTTATAATATGCTTTCCCGCTTCTGAAATGCTGGTCATAATGATTTTATTTTTGAAATTTTTATAGAAACTTATATCTGATGATATTTTTATATTCCTTGGTATAAGATTGTCACTTCAGATTATTGCTTTTACCAGCTGCATCTTTCTCCCTTGTTTTTTTTTTTTTTGGATATGCCGCTGCATTTTTCTTATGGTTTTTAGTCCCTGTAAAATATCTTAAAGTTTAAATGCATGCCTGCCCCAAGTTTAACATTAAAAAGAGGGGGGATGAAAAAAAGAAGGACTGTTTGCTATCGGACTAACTCTTCAAGGATTCAATTCAAAATATAATCAATGCGAAAAGTGTAAAAACCAACTCCATCTATTGATAAATAGCAACAAATTACATCAATTACAGGGTCTTGTGCAAGGGATAAAGAATTAGTGAATAGGGATTTTGTATCCTATGGATACGTCATTCCCCACTCTACTAAGGAAATCAACCAACATTGTCAGTAGCTCTATGGATACTGCCAGCTTTCACCAATAATGAGTTTTGTGATCAATCTCATCATCAAGATTGAGTTGTTTTGGGGTATTGCTTCAAAATAAGTAGTCCAGAACATGCTAAATGGGTAGTTGACTGAATATTGATGGCTTGAGCTCTTATTTCTCTACCACTGGTGACTTTGGAAGCAACTTGTTCAAACTTTATGGACCAATTTCAAAGATTTCAAATATGAGGTTAAGAGAGAGTGTGTTAAGATTAAGAGATAAGAGAGAGAAAGTAATATTCAAGCACAAGATAAAGTAAATATAGATGTCTTTGCACTCTTTACAAATCATGGGGCAATGTGCCCTCTATATACATATATGCCTACAATGTTGGTATGTCAACATATATAGCTGTTATAGTAGGAAAATCACCCAAATATGATAATTACAACATAAAAATTACCCAAATATGATAATTGTTACAACATGAAACACCGAAATATGGTAGAAAATTATACACATCATCACCACATGTTGGTTTCTGTGATGGTTTCTATAGGTTTCTTTAATGGATATGAGGCCCACAGTAATCACTATACTCCCCTTCAAACTGGAGCATATATATCATAGATGCCTAGCTTGCCCAAAGTCCGCATTAGTTGAACTCGATTCGAGGCCTGGTAAGTATGTCTGCCAATTGATTCTCAGAGTGAACAAATGGAGTGCATATTGTCTTTAAAACGACCTTTTCTCTAGCGAAGTGATAGTCAACCTCAATATGCTTGTTCTTTCATGGAAGACAGGATTTGAGGGAGTGTAAACTTGATTTTCACAGTGTAGAGGAGTAGGATCTGATACATTACAACCATCTCTTGAAGAAGAGCACGAAGCCAAATAATTTCACATGTAGCTATTGCTCGATACTCAGCTTTTGCTAAAGATCGAGTTACAATACTCCGTTTCTTACTATTCCAAGTGACCAGGTTACCACCCATTATCATAAAGTAGCCACTGGTAGTAGTGATTTAAAAAGCGGACCGCCCAGTGCCTGTGCGGCCAGAAGGGCTTTTTTAATCCTAAAAGGGCAAAATTGTGGGTTTCATTTAAAACTTAAAACCCATTAGAGCAGAGAAAAACCCCAAAAAACTAGTTTTTGGTTATTTCCATAAGATCGAAGGGTTTCTCAAAGTGACGAGAAGTTGATTTAAGCATCACCCATTAATATTAGATTTCGTTTTGGATGTTTTATAAATCTATTGGAGGGTTTTCTAGAAGATTTTGAGTCTTTAGAAACATCTTAGAGGTGGAAGTTTGGAGATCGAGCAATCAAAGTTAGTGATTTATTTTTTGATTGCTTGTATTATTTTGAGATGTCTTCTTCAGGACTTGTGTACTATACATTTGATGTACCCTAAATCCTTAATTCTTATATGTTATACAATTATACTTATACTGTTACACTATAGAGACATTTTTTTTTCTACTGGGCCGCTCAGGTTTTGGGTGCCCACCTAGGTAGTGGACGGCCTGAACCCCCTCGGCCGCCTAGCGCGTTTTGAATCACTGTCTGGTAGATCGTCGATCAAGAGAACACCGGCTCAATCTGCATTGCAAAAACCTTATATAGCATGGTTACCATGACTGGTATAAAGTAGCCTCTCCCTGGAGCAGATTTTAAATATTGTAAAATCCAATAAACAGCCTCCAAGTGATGAGAGCATGGTGCGTGCATAAATTGACTTGTCATACTTAGCATATGCAATGTCTGGCCATGTGACAATCAGATAAATAAGTCTCCCAACTGATCTCTGATATACACCATAGTTACTCAGAGGCTCTGATTGCTAATCATACAGTTTGTGGTTGACCTCTATGGGAGACTCTATTAGTTTAGCTCCAAGCATTCTTGTATCATTAAGGAGATCAAAAGTATACGTCCTTAGAGATTAAAAAAAAAAAATCCTTGTTTAGACCTAGCTCCCTCTGTTATAAGGAAGTATTTCAACGGACCAAGATCCTTGATGTCAAAAAACATCCCCCATGAAATTTTTCACTTTTTGAATCTTGTGATCATTATTTCCTCTTAGCGCTATATCGCCCATACACTATGAGTATTGTGTTAAAACAAGAATCTCTTTTAATAAATAAAGAATGATAAAAAACACTTCTCTTGCAAATCTGAATGAGATTTTTTGTTTTGTTTTGGGTAATTCAGTGGGGAACACAGGCTCCTACCCTTTTTTTCAAGTAGTTGAGGAGTTAGCTTTTGAAGGTATTAGTGGTGGCAATGGAAACCACAATGTGGTGACTAGAGTGTGGGGTGTTACCACCACGACCCCAGCTCCTTTTCCCATCCGAATGACAATTGCCATACAAATTTTTTCGAACCAAGCCTGAGGTGAATGTCTCAATCCATATATAGCTTCTGCAAACTTGCTGATCTTCCCATTCTCCATTAGAGAATACAACCCAGATAGTAATGTCATATATACTTCCTCTTGCAAATCTCTATGAAGAAAGGCATTCTTCATGTCTAAATTATGAAGTGTCGATTTCCTATGTACTGCAATTGATAAAAATACCCGTATTGATTTCAATTTTGCGACAAAAGCAAAGGTCTCCTTGTAGTCAACCCCATATAGTTGTATAAAACTCTTAGCCACCTGACAAGCTTTGTATCTCACAATCAAACCATCTAGTTTGTGCTTTAGGATATACACCCCCCTGCTTCCTACCCCATGTTGTCCTTCGAGCCGATCAATTACATCCCAAGTTCCCTACTTCTCTAAGGCAATCATTTTCTCAATCATGGTTGTTTTCCATTGTGGATGAGCCAATGCATGTGCAATTTTAGTGAGAGTAGAAATAGAGGAAGTAGAGCAAAGGTATTCACACTACATTAGGTAAAATGAGTTTAGAGAATATAGGGGTACAAGGAGAAGAAGTACCTGATGAGGCAACGAGTTGGGTTGATTGTTTATGTTAGTCTTTCCCTTATTCTTTATCCTGATGTGCATATTCAACTGTTTCTCAGTAGATTTCACTTGTTTCTTGGTTGGATTACCTGAACTATCGGTGATCATTGGAAGAGGAATAGGATTGTCGCGTGACATAGTCGATATTGAATCTCTTGGGAGGAAAGTGGGGTCAAGAAGGTAACATCCTTTCAGTTTCTGGATAGTAAGACTTGTATCCTTTCAGAGAGTTTGAGTATCCTAGGAACACATCTAGTAGATTGAAGTTCTAATTTATCCCTAGCCGGCCCCAGGGTATGCACAAGGCAAATATAACCAAAGGTTTTTGGTGGAAGAGAAAATAGAGGAAGTGCATGGTGGAGAAGTTTGAAAGGATATGCATTATCTAGATTCTAGAATAGGCGTAGGCATTCTATTGATCATATAGGCAGCAATAAGAACTGCTTTATCCTAATATGACTTAGGAAACTTCATTCCTTTTAAAATGCCTCTCACCACTTCTAAAAAGTGTCTAGTTTTCCATTTCGTCACAACATTATGCTGTGGTGTATAGAAACATGATGTTTGAGTTTCTATACTATGTTTAAGAAAACAATTGTTTAATCCATTGTATAGATACTCGTGTATTATCAGAACGGAAAATTTTTATTTGGGTCTCAAACTAGGTCTGAACCATTTTATGAAATATTTTAACTATTGAAGGTACTTCATCTCTACTTTTCATAAGATAGGTCAAAGTATAATGAGAGTAGTCATCAATGAATGAGATAAAATACCTGTGTTCAAATATAGAAGTAACTGGAGCATACCCCCAAACATCAGAATAAACAAGATGGAATGGCTTAGAACTTTTATTTTCACTAGAAAAAAAGGAGGTTATACAATGTTTAGACAATTGACAAGTCTCACATTATAACTGAGGAACACTCAAAGAAACAAACTTATTTGAAAACAATAATTTTAATGATTTCAAAGTCATGTGGCCTAAGCGGGTATGCCACAAGAGGATTTTCTCATGAGTCTAGACTCAGAGTTGAGTGCATTAGACGTGCATCCTGTGTTGAAAAAGTACATCCCATTGTCTGCATGACCATCACCATTCGTCTTCCTTATTCTCAGGTCCTGAAAAACACAATGTGAGGAATAGAATGTGACACTGCAGTTTAGTTGTTTTGTCAGGCTGCTAACTGAGAGAAGATTAGAAGGAAAATAAGGTACATATATT